ACACACACACACGTGTGTGTGTGTGTGTGTGTGTGTGTGTGTGTATGTATATATGTTTAGAATAAGGAAAAATTTCATATACTTATAAAGTGCTTATGGATGTTATTAATCAGTGTAAATACTGTTACAATATCATTGCAAATGTGGAAATTCGTTTTTACCTTGTTGAAACATTGAATAAGTATTTTTTTTAAAAAAGATTTATTATAAAATATTGATCTTCAACTTTATTTTATTTTCTTGCAGATTCTGTAATAGGAAATAAAAGATTTATGCCATAATCTCTCACTCCAGGCAAAGGTATATTACATAAATATTTCTATTTGAAATGTATTAAGTATTCGTACTCTATATTATTATAAATGGAATATCTGGCCAAAGATGAAATTAGTAAACTGAAAGAACTATTTCTGTAGAATAGTATGCACCATATATGATGGCTTAAAGGATTTTCTGAGGCCAGAATATCAGCTGAAGTAGATTGTATATTTATATCTGTGTTTATTGTTATTTTACTTATTTGCTAACAATTTGCATTCTAGAAACTTTAGTTGCGTGGCTTTGGTAAAAAAAAAACATGCTAAATATGTTGCATAGTTTGTTTAGTACTACAGTTGAAATATTATGTTTTAAGAACAGTTATTCTGTTGTTAAAAGTATTATTAGCAGTTATTAAATTCAATACACATAGTCCTCATTTAATGGTTTTAATTGGGACTAAAATGTCTACTACCCAGCAAAGTGGTCATTAGGCAAAACATCATATGGTGCTCCACTAAGCAACAGCAGTTCTAGTGATCCTGGTTACACTTATTACATGAGAATTGTACCATCATTAGGCAAGGACTTCATACCTGCCCTGCTGCAGCCATTGGATTGTGGGTTAAAGATGGGAAAGGTGGTAGTTTACTTCTTCAAATTGCCAGTCTCAACATATAATTGTACCTTTAAAAAAAACTATACAGATTGTCCAGGAAAAAGAAATGGCCTTGTTCAGTGAACATTGCTAACAAGATTTTTGCTGGCTTGTTGAAAAGTGAGTTGTTGTCTCTGACTCAGAACAAATTGCTTAGCCCAAAATTTATAGGATAATTACAAGGAAACCTTTACTATTGACTGTATAATCTAAAAATGCATGCCATTAAAATTAAATTATTTATTTTTTAATAAGCTATATTTTGCAAAGAAAGAAATAATTAGTAGATATGTATGATATCACTCTTAAATTAAAGAAATTTAATTTGTTTCAGAATTAATATACAGTATTAATTTATCCTGAATGTCAAAGCTTACTTAGAATGTTTCGTTTGTGCAAAATTCATTCATTGCTTGTGATGAAAACTGGCAGCTTGAATATTGTTTCTAAATGAAAGAATGTCACAGTAGAATGATATAATATTTGTTTCTAGAATATCTAGAACAGTGGCCCCCAACCTTTTTTGTGCCACGGCCCGGTACCGGCATCAGCACGCAAGGCAAGGCAAGGCGAGCCGAGCAACCAGCCAGCCAGTCATCCCTCGCTTCTCCCTGCCACCTTCAACTCCTCCTTTGTACCTTTTTTGTGATTTCTTAATCTCCTCCGCCATTGGGATGGCTCTTCGTTCGAAGCCGCCACCCCCTTCAATGAAACTAAGGCACGAGGATTCCTTCAGGACCCAAACACCGCTTTCCAACTGGAAAAGCTCACCCGGAAGCACTTTCCCGTCGAAACAAGATGGCGGTGCCCAGCAAACCGGCGGCCCGGTAGAAAATGATCCATGGACCGGTACCGGTCCGGGGCCTGGTGGTTGGGGACCCCTGATCTAGAATGTGATAGTGAAGGTTAGTTCTCCAAGCTTGTGGGTTAGCTTCCAAATGTTTTGTTACAAGGTTAGGTAACATCTTCAGAGGAGTTTAGGGGATGTCATTGTTAGTGTTCTTCTATTTATAAGGGATTCAGGTGTGGGTATGTCAAGTGAGGGTCTTCTGATGGGTCAGATGATTCTGGTTTTTAATTGACATGTTTGTCCCACATAAAATTGGTTGCAATGGTTACAGTTAATTTTGTAGATTACATTGTTTATTTCATCCTTCTGTAATGATGTAATCAGAATCCACAAACATCAGCTGACAATCAAATGCCACAATCCCAAATCCTTAATCTCTACCCACACTGACATCAAACAGCACCAGTTTAATTGGAGCAACACAAAAATCATCAGCTATATTACCACCTACCACTCTTGTGAGTTCATAGAAGCCTGGCACGCCACAAGCAATTCCATCAACAGACACACTGATCTACAACCAGCCTACAAACCCCTCAGAATGCAAATCAATCCCCAGCAACCAGAGACAGAACCAACCCTTGCACAACCTTCCCCAGCAGCAATTCACCTCCCAATGATCCTGACCTGATATCTCCTTATCACCAGACCCATCACAAGATTCACTAATGACTTACAGCTAACCCATCTGTAACCCATCATTTGATAGACCCACACCTTATAAACAGAAGAACACTGACACCCCCTAAACTCCTTTGAAGATGTTACCTAGCCTGGTAATAAAATATTTGGAAATCAACCCACAAGCTCAGAGAACAAACAAAGTTCACCTTTCTGTTACACCCAAGCTCTAGATACTTGCTACTATTGCATTGTCTGAATGTCCAAATAAAACCTGTTCTTTTTTGTAGGGAGAGCATAACTGAAGATTTCATTTAACTGAACAAGCTTCAGCAAATAGATTAAGCCACAGATGCTTAGATTAAGACTAAGGAATCTGGACCCACAAAAAATCTAGACAAAAACAATAGATACAGAAACCTGAATGTGGTAATCCAAATTGCTGTAATCTTATATGTTTCATGTGAACTGCTAAAGGTCATCTCCGAATTTTACATATGTAGACAGATACATAATTTATTTTTTAAAATCCCATGATACTTAACAAGAATACAAGTAGTCCTTGAATATCAGTGGGTCATTTGATCATTTAAAGTTAAAACAGTCTGGGAAAGGGTGCTTTGTGACACATAAATCACTTCCAACTGTCATAAAATGTAAATCCATAAAGAATTTGTTCTCTGTGCTGAGAGGGGAAGGGAAATTTTTAAGGGGCTTCAAGATTTTAGTTCCTGCTGAAGAATTTCCTCTCCACTCCATCCATTCACCCAGAAGAAAAGTGGGAGTCAATGTAACTCACACAACGAAAGTACAACATGGGCAAACCAGTGAAGATCCAATTCTATGCATGCTGCTGCATTCTGGGTCTCTTGTAACTTCTGAGTGGTCTTCAACCCTTTGTAAAGCGTAATGCAGTAATTCAGATGGACTAAAGTGACTAAAGCTGTTAACTGCTCATTAAGCAGAAGCTGAGAATCCAGCAGAATCCCCACATTGCGTGCCACTTTGATCTTGGAGAGGGCAACCTTGTCCAGAGTCGAAAATGACAAATAATCAGACTCCGAGGACCAAAACCCCAGAGCCACTGTGTCTTGCCAGATTTGATCCAAAGTTGGTTCATCCCTATCCAGACCTTTATAGTTTCCAGGCACTTAGATATACTGCAGTGTTATCACTTGCCCAGCCATGGATAGAGATGTCTAACTTGGTATCATCAGAGTACTGATCATACCACATACTGTACTGTTACGACACACCCTGTAATGATCTCAAACAGCAATTTCATATATAAGGATCAAAGTCTTGAGGAACCCAACATTGCAGGACATAGGGTTAACTCTTTCCTTGCCCATCAATACCAACTAGAAGCAGTCACAGAAAGGAGAGCCATCATAAAATGGTGCCTCCCACTCACAACCTCTGTAGTCAGTTTAGAAGGATATTAAGATTGATGGTATCAAAAGCTGATAAAAGATCAAGGATAGCCAGCACAATTGCATCACCATATCCCGAGTCCTCCAAAAGTGTTCAGGAAGCATGAACGATGCCATTTTAGTATCATACCTGGTCTGAACCCAGACAGAAAAGGGCTGTCCCATCTCCTAGGTCTTAACCAAACAGAGGGACTTGGGATTTGGAACTATGCCCAACATTTTTGGTTAAAGCCTCCTGAAAGATGGGACAACTCTTTTCAGTCTGGACCAGGAGAACCCTGTCTTATTTCCTTGGGATCATTTGTTTTCCTAATAATAGAGCTCAGATATAAGTCTGTCACTTCCAAGGATCTGCCCAGCCAGAATAAAACTTTGAGTGAATTCTGATTATTTGACAGTTACTGAAAATGTTCCTCACTGCAGCCCTGCAAAAGCTGCTGAAGCTGCTCATGTGGAGCCTGATTACCGAAAACAAAAAGAAAGCCACTGGATAGATATCTGCAGATGCACTAAGGGTAGAGAAGTAAGTACACTTTGCCACCCTTACGGCCACAAGTTTAGTCTTAACATAGGCTCTTTCTGTTGCTCAGTCAACTTCATTTTTTGTCTTCTTTCATCCGTGCTCTAGGCATCTCTGGTGTCACTTCATCTCTCGAGTAGTTCAGTAAACCATGGCACTCTGCAAGATCCATGTGCACAGAGTCCACAAGGCAAAATTTGGTTCAACATCCCATTGCCTTTTTATTCCAAGGAATAATGAGAGCACCAACCAAACTGTGTGTCAGAGCTTCATGAAAAACCTCAAGTTTCCTCAGAAACCACAATAACTTCATCAGGTATGTAATAAACCTTCTATATATATCCTCTTCCATATAAATCCATGTGCCAACTTCAATCCCAAGTGCTCTCAGACATGTAAGTGAATCCTCCAAAATGGCTGCTTTACCATGTTATTAGACAAATGGCAACTGTAAGACACAAGACAGCCCCACACAGGTTTGCTGCCTTGCTCTTGTTCCTACTTCCATTACCACAAGCTGCCTGGCCATCTGAGCCCTTCATTGATTGAAAACTCCCAACAGCCAGGACCTTGTAGTGACTGCATTGTCCTTGCCCTGTTTTGCCCAGCTTATCATTATATTCTCTGTAAAATAGCAGAGAATAGATGGAGAATATGGGCTAAGTGCTAGTCTGTTGCCACTCATTCTGCCATCCTGCTATGTTCTCTGGAGTTCTATTTCCCCCATCAGCTGGAGCAAAGGCAGCTGATCCATAGCACTTCTAAACTCTGCTGCCTGCCACCCATTCAACAAGGAGCTTCTCTAATGGAGAAGCCACTGCCTGAAGCAGTCCCATTATTTTGCCACTCAGGGAGACATTGATAGAAATCTGCATGGTTTTTTCCACCACTTGGTCTTCTGCCATTGTGCCAGCTCCTTTGACTGCTGCTGCTTTTCTGTTTTTCCTGCTGGCCAAGTAATTAGGACAAACAGTGCTGGCCACCCACCAAATTGACCAGAGGCACTGATCATTTCCACACACATCTACATCCTCAGATTTCTCAGAAAAAACTTGCCTACCAAACATGTATCAATGTCAGTACCATAATAGGGGGGGGGGGGGGGAGAATCCCACATGCATAAATATCCTTTTAGCATAATTTTAACTATAAACATCCCCTAAAAATACGAACACCAAAATTAACACAAATGAACAACAAAAGCAAAACTCTGAAACTTTGGTTTTAATAAAGACACACACACAAAAAAATCTTCACCTCTTCTCTGAACCCCCAAAGGAGGTTCACCTCACAGTTTGGTAATCCCTACTTTAGAACCCAAAATCTTACTCAACTGTAAAATTAGAAGTGCTTCTATTAAAATCATTATTCCTTTAGCAAATTTTGAATATTCATGGATTTTGGTTTGTTTATACCATGTCTTTATTATTTTTATAACTAAGGCAGCCAATACCAATATTCTTTTCTTTTTTTCATAAAAAGTTTTTTATTTTATTTTGACAACAAACATTGACATATACAAACATAAAACATCAAACAAAACCATCTTTCCATTGTACAGTGTGTTGGTTGGTACATATCTTTTGTGCACAATATCAACAGTCTTTCCCTAGAAAATGCATTGTTAAAGTTCAAAATGCATGTTCTATAAATCAACCAGACACATTATAACTTCTTATTAGACTTTGTTTGTAAGTTCATATCATCCTTTTCAAGCAAATCTCAACTTTACAAAACCTAATTCATAATATTCATTTCATTGTAGTCAATTATAACTTATCATTACATTGTCTTATCATTATTATATTATAATGTTGTATTATATTTTATTTTCCTGTTTTCCTATCTAGCCATTGATAAAATAAATCCCAAATTTTATAGTATTCTTTATCTTCTTGCTCTCTAATTGCTAATGTCAATTTAGTAATTTCTGCACATTCCATTATTTTCTTAATCACCTCCTATTGGAATTTTTTCACTTTTCCAATTTCTGGCAAATACAGTTCTAGCTGCTGTTAATACATTTATAATCAGATATATCAATTCTTTACTATATCCTTCAGATAAGATACCCAATAAAAATATCTTTGGTTTCAAGTCTATGTGCTGTTTTGTCATTTTTTCCAGCCATGTATGAATTTTAGTCCAGTATCTCCTGACTTCTACACACGTCCACCACATGTGATAGTATGATCCAGGTATCTGATGACACATTTCACTGATTTGTTTTTAAACATCTTTGCTATTCTTGCCAGGGGTAGATACCACCTGTAAAACATCTTATACAAATTCTCTTTATATGCTTCTGACATTGTTATTTTATAATTTTGAGACCATAATTTCTGCCATCTTTCTAAATCTATCCCATATCCAAAATTTTCTGCCATGCAATCATTGTTTCTTTTAACTTGTTCTTCTAGTTTTAACTCCAAGTAAATATCCATATTTTTTTTGATCACCTTCTCATCAGTACCTGTCAAAATTCCATCTAATTCAGTAAGCTCATTGTAAAAACCTTCTGTCCTATGATCTTTATCATATCTAAAATGTATTTGCACATAAGAATACCAATTCATCTCTATTCCTTGTTCCTCTAGTTCTAGATTTGAGTTCACCCTCTTCATTTAATATTTCACTATATCTTACTGTTTGTTCCATTCTATAAACAATTGGATATGCAAATGCCTCTATAGTTGACAACCACATTGCTATTTTCATGTAATGTTGTTTCCTCATTTTCTGCCATATTAATAATAAAGCATCACAAATATAATGTCTCCTAAAATACCCATGTGTTTTGCTTTCCTTATACCATAAAAAGGCGTGCCATCCCAATAATAAATCATGACCTTCTAATGTTAACAGTCTAGTATTTCTTAAAACAATCCAATCTTTCCCTCACATCAGTGTTGCCCCCTGATAGTATAATTCTCAATTGGGTAAACCAAAACCTCCTCTTGATCCAAAACCTCATCTTGTAACAATTTTAACTTAATTCTTGCCTTTTTGCCCTGCCATATATACTTCAATATTATTTTGTTTAAATCTTCAAAGTATTCTTTCCCTAGTTTAATTGGGATTGTCTGAAACAAATATAAAATCCTTGGTAATTGTCATGATCTACTGTTTGAGTTTATAATAATTGTCTTCTTTGAGTGTTCCACATCTTGCTGTAAATTGTATTCCTAAATATTTAACTTTATTTGGGATCTGGATATTCAATCTGTCCATCAATTCCTTATTTTGTTTTTCCACCATATTTTTAACTAAAATCTTAGTTTTATCTTTATTTAATTTCAATCCTGCTACTTGTCCATATTCTTCAATCTTTTATATTAGTTTAGGTGCTGTTTTTAATGGTTCCTCTAATATAAAAACCAGATCATCTGCGAATGCTTGTAACTTGTATTCCTCTTTTTTATTTTCATTCCTTTTATTTCGCTATCGTCTCTAATATTTTTGTTTAATAGTTCAAGAGTCAAGACAAACTGTAAATGTGACAGCGGACATCTTTGCCTGGTTCCTTTTCTAATATCTGTTAAATCTCCATTTATCATTACTTAGGCAGATTGCTTATGATATATTGCCTTTATAGCTTCAACAAATTTTCCACCAAATCCCATTTGTTCCATTTGTGATATCATAAACTGCCAAAATTGGCAGTTATCAAAAGCTTTTTGTGCATCTAGAAATACCAAGGCCATTTGTTTCTCAGAGTGTAAATACACCCAATATTATTCTTCCTCCTATTTTCCTTACAAAAACCACTCTGTGAGGTAACTTGGGCTAAGAGAAAGTGACTAGTTGAAAGCGCCCCCCTCCCCCCCCTTGGCACTTTTAGAATGTTTTCCTTTTAGGAAAATTTGCATACTCCATAATTCTCCAAAATTTGCATACTCCAAAAAAACCAGCTAATGTAAAAGAAAAAAAACCCTATTAAAAAATTGCAAATAACGGAGATCCTTACCGGAAAATGTCTGTCAATCCTTTGAATAGGAAAGTCCCATTGGTACCACCGGACAGAAACAGTGGGATTTTATTAGGCATTTATCTGAATCTTCAAAGCCTGACTATTTTCTCTTCCATCCCTCTTATAACCTAGGGAATAAAGACAGAGTCAGTTTTAGCTTCTTTCTCACATTTTCTTTGTTTCCTGGATTTAACAAAACTTTTTGTTTTTCTAATTCTAATTGCTAAATAATACTGTATATTGTCCAACAATTATAGCTATCATTAATTTCTTTTATATTATATAATAGATAATTGTTGTACATAAAATTTGTTTAGATACAATATCTTCTTACAAATGTCATATTACATAGAATTATAGAACATACAATGAATATAAAAAGTCTACACACTTGTTAAAATTTTTGAAATATAAAAAAAAATCAGACCAAGATCAATGACTTCTGAATTTTTTTTCACCTTAAACATTGTCAACTGAACAATTCAATTGAAAAATAAACTAATCTTTTTTAGGGAGCAAAATAACAAAAAACATATAATAACATGGTTGCATAAGTGTGCACACCCTTAAAGTAGTACTTTGCTACAGCATCTTTTGATTTTATGACAGCAATCTTTTTTTTTTAAAGAAAATTTATATTCCCACCTACTTGCCTATGGAAACTCAAGGCGGCTTATACGAATATAAAAATATATAAAAAGAATAATAAAAGAAAATAATAAAATAAATAATAGCCACCTACCCACCCCCTCTTGGCAACAACACATATTCATACAAGCCATTTAGTGGGCTCCATCCCATTCTGGGTTCCCCAAGCCCACTAACAGAACCATGTCTTTAACCCCTTCTGGAAGAGTGTTAGAATGGAGCCAACTTAATTTCCGGGGGAATGATGTTCCAGAAAGAGGCCCTTCTTCTGGACCTTCTGATGTATCGCCCTAGGGCCGTGATGGCAAACCTATGGCACACGTGCCACAGGTGGCACACCGAGCCATTTGAGCTGGCATGCGAGCTGCAGGCAAACTTACTTCACTGCACATGCATGTGCCTTATAGCTGATTTTCGGCTGGTTTGAGGCCTTTTTTGGCCACCCAGAGGCTTGAAAAATACCTGTTTTGTCACTTCCTGTAATACCGAAAATGACAAAACGGGCTTATTCGGCCTGCAGATGCTTTTTTCAAGCCTCTGGGAGGCCGAAAAAGGCCTCAAACCAGCCGAAAATCAGCTGTGAGGTGCAGTGCAGGTGAGGGGTGATGGTGGGGGGCGGGAAGGGGTTGTGCACACATGGGCAGGAGGCGTGGGGGGCGCATTGCCTTCTGGGTGCTGGCATGTGAGCCTGCACAGGAGCTCAAAAAAGTTAGCCACCACTGCCCTAGGGGATTGAACCCGCAACATTCCCTGCCTTCCCACCCTAGTGGGTCGGGTATATATGACTTGCAAGAGATGTTTCCTCAGATAACCTGGTTTCAAGCCATGAAGGGCTTTAACGGAGACAACCAGCACCTTGAATTGCACCTGGAAGCAAATTGCCAACCAATGCAGGAGAGATAAAACATGTACAATTGAGGTCTGCACAAAATCATGTGGGCTGCTGCATTTTGTACCAACTGAAGCTTCCAGATACTCTTCAGGGGAAGTCCCATGTAGAGTGTGTTGCAGTAGTCATGATGGGAGGTGACTAAGGCATGAGTGACTGTGAGAAGGCTTGTTGGTCTAAGAAAGGGTATAACTGGTGCAAAAGCAGGAATCGCAAGACCAGGAGAACCCCCAGGTTACACATAGGGTCTGTTTGGGGTAGTGTTACCCCATCCAAGACCAAAGTTGGCAATTCTCCATGGGCCAAAGAACCCCAAACCCAGAGCCTCTAACAGCCTTCAGACATTGCAAGAGGGAGGTCACGACATTGCTTAACTCACCATGGGCTAAGATACACAAATGAGTATCATCAGCATATTGCTGATATTTCAGTCCATGGTAACAGATGATCTCATCTAGCAGCTTCATGTAAATGTTGAATAGGAGCAGA